GCGGGACGCAGCCCATCCGTGATTCTCTCATCGATGTTTCTCTCCTTCTCTCTTCCTGTCTCTGAAATTAATAAAAACATTAAAAAAAAAAAAAAAGAAAAAGAGTAAGGGGATGTGGGGTTCCCGGAACCCAGAGAACAGCTGGGTCTTTCCGTCCATCCAGCAGGGAGCCGGGAGGAAACGCCTGCCGGTTCCGCTCCCACCCTGGAGCCTCCTGCCGCCCCTCCCGAGCCAAACCCCAGCGGGACGCAGGGGCGAGTCCCTGTCGCTGGAGCCCAGGGCACCCTCCGGAGCACAGCGCGCGGCGGAGCTGGAGGAGCTCGTGGAAAAGCCCAACGAGGCCGGTGCGCTTTGGTTTAGGTTCCTTTCCTTAACAGTGCTTATCTCTAGTTTAACTATACAACAATAAGTTGTTTTTGAAATTACTAATAGGCATTATTAATAATTTAAAATTCGTCGAGGTCAGGTATCACGACTTCCTGCAGGCCAGGGGCTGTGTCGCCGCTGCCTCCCTGGGCACTGGCATAGCCCACACGAAGGAATGGAGACACCAGCGTGGAACACTGTGCTGCAAGTAGCCTGATTCTGGAGGCTGTAATAACTGAAATAGGAAAGGGATGCCTCCCACTTCCTTATCAGACAGTATCTTTCCCAGCTTCTTCTGTGTCCAACTAGCAAAATGGCCTGTTAGCATAAAATATCTGAGGCCCTGCCTACACTGAGCTACAATTTTAATAATTTACCTTTATTTTGCCCAAAGTTTCTTCTGCCCAGTTAATTTTTCTAGGTAATTTATTGAGAGCTCATTCTATGGCATAGAGGTAGAAAGCTAATGCTCTCAGGCTTCGTGACAATCAGAAAGTTTAAACCACAGTGCGGAGCAAGCAGTCTCGGTTAAACGGTTTTGCCTTTGTGCTGCACTAAAATGTGCCTTGAGACAGGCATAGTGCCTGGTGAACAGCATATGGTGCCTGAGAGTCCCAATTCACACGGAAAATAAGCTAATGACATCCTGTGCAGGGAGTAAAACTGGAACCAGATTTATTTTTCCTATCGGTTTAGCTGGGTTCAGTATCTAAAAATACTGATTTCCATTGTCGCAGAGGCAATATTATGGAGGCTGAACAGAGATGGCTGGTGTGCGAGGTCAGTTACAAAATAATTCACCGAGGAGGACAGGAGTAACCCATGATCTAGCCGGTCAAGGTAATGTTAAGGGCTAACAAGAGACGTTCAGAGAAGCCTCTGAGCCTTAGCAAAGGAGTCCAAGGCTCAGCTCTATCCCAGGTCCAAAGAACTCACGCCAACCTGTGGGAAACATATTCAGCACCCCAACTCCCTCCCCGCCCCCCCGCCCAAGATGTTATTTCACTAGTGGATTGTGTTTGTTTGCTTTTTAGATTGTGTTTGCTTTTACTGGCGAGAGCTCCATCAGACCTAATGCCCCCTTTTTTATAACATTTTTGTAATATTTGTAAACATTTTGTAATACCTCCTCTGCTATACTAAAATGAAATTCATAAGTAATATAATTTACTCCAAACATTTTTAAACCAATATAATGATCTAACTATAAAACACACTTATAATAAGGTAATATATATCAGAATGTAAACCCTTAGGCACTCGGAGGCTCAGACCTATGGGTACTATCACTGTGAATCCAACAACCACAAATCTGATCCTGTACTAGAGATGCACATACCATGGGCACTGTTGTCAGAGCCATGAGTTTTCGAAACAATGAGCCCTTCTTCGTAATGTTCTCAGTATACAAATCTTCTCCTGGCTCACATAGTAGTTACATTCCTAGAATGTTTAGTGATCTTAAAAATATGTAAAAACGACTTAGAACTTTATATAAAATGGAGTTGGGTTCTAGGCACAGATAATTTTAAATGAGTTTTACACCAACATGAAAGTCCTGTAGGACATTGAAAAGTCTCATTCAATTCACGGAACAATTTTTTGCTTTATAGTTTTGTCTTGTACACTGCAGAACATCTAGCATCTCTGGTTCCAGCCCACTAAATAGAACACCCTCCCTTTATTTTAACAAGCCAAAATGAGTCTACAAGTTTTGAAAGTGCCTCATGGGTATACAGTATCTCCTCTGTTGAGAATTGCTGGGCTGAAGGATTCAGTAATCAGTTTTCTGACTATGATCGTATCACTGTGATGCTATCAATATGTGACATTCTAAACTGTCCTTTGGCTGGTACAATTCTTTCCAGCAGGCCCAGAAACAAAATCCTTCTAACTTAAGAATAAAATAAAAAAAGTTTATGAGAAGGATTCTGGAATAGATCACCCAATTGAAGGACAAACTGAACAAGTGTATCATTTAGGATTAAGTTCCACCAAACATAATAGAAAACCCATAACAGTGGCTTAAACAAGATAGAATTTTAATTCTCTCTCACATAATCTGAGCCTAGAGGCAAAAAGTTTAGAGTTGGTAGAGCAGCTCTGCTCCATGAAGTACCCTGGGACCCAGGTTCATTCTGCTCATCACACACACTGTAGGGTGTGGCCCTGGTTCTCATGGTCCAAACTGGCAGCAGAATGCAAGAAAGGATGAAGAACCAGGCATCTCTCAATTACCTTCTGAGGAAGGTTCTCAAAGGCTGTCATAAGACAATTCCACTTATACCTCATTGTCCAAAATTTAGTCACATGGCCATGCCTACCTGCAGGAAGGCTGAGAAGGTGTTTATTCTGGGTGGTCATGTGACCAGCTGAAAATTCCATTACTAAAGAAGATAAAAGGATGGATATTGGATGGTAAACTAATAATCAATGCCTCACTTAGGAAAAGGGAGAACCAGGTCAGCTCTGCTGTCTCAGCTGGCAGCATACTTTGTGCATATTCAATGTTGGTAGCATTGAGAGTTCATGACTATGCTGTGCTGTAATCCAGCTGTGCTCCTGGCTGTTTAGCCTTCCTTGGTGTAGTTGGCTGAATAATGGCTCCCCAAAGATATCTGCATCCTAATTCCCGGAGCCTGTGAATATGTTACCTTACAATGTTTTCTTCTGTTTTAAAGATTCATTTCTTTACATTGGCATTTCCTCCTCATAATGTTTCTGATAAATTCTGATACACTGAGGGTATTTTTATAAATCCAAGCCTTCTGAAGAAAAGGGGACATACTTAGTAAAATTCAGTGCTTATGTTGCAGACCCACTCTATCAAATTGCTGATTTTAAGAAAGCAGTTGGGGGGGGGGGAGAGAAAGCAGTTGAGGAGCAAATAACAATGTTCTCAATTCATGGTTTTTCACTCACAATTATGATTTGGCCAAAACCAAACTCTGGTACTTGTACAAATTTAGAGCTGGAAAACAACTATGAGATGTATAGCTAGGAAACAAAATGTGAGAACAGTAAGAAAAATTTCATCACCAGGAAAATCCAAGGGTTGGGTTGTACAGTTATCTCATGAAATCAATTAACCTAGATAGTATTGTTTATGGTTCATGTCAAAATTCATGTCTTTGTGCCAACCCATATACTAGAGGGAAAAATACACTAGAGAGCTATTTTACCTGAATTATTTGGGTAACAGCTATAATTTCCATTTAATTTGCAGATGGAATTAATTTTTCAGTGTAGGGAAGGTTTGGGTGAAGTATTTGTCATACACTGCTCCCTTGTATTCCTAATGTAGGAATCAGATAAAAAAGAAGAAAACTGTTAAAGTACAGATGACAGGTGGCAACTAAAACACCCTCAGGCTCACCATGCAATATACCTACTATTTTAACAGAAAAGCTGGACCTGGATAAGCAGAAATGTTTTTTGGGGGAAGTAACTCGAAATCAGAACTGTCCCAGAAGATTTAGAATGTGTCATTGAAAATATACATCATTGTAAATACAGGAGAAACACCATTCAATCACAGAATACAACAGAGTTCCATTTTATGCTCATTTAATCATCTAGAATTCAACTGCACATTCTTAAAAAGCAATTTTTTTAAGAAAGAGAAATGGAAATGTACATAGTATAGGCAAACATGTTTCTGTTAAACTCAATGAGCATGTGCCTCTGCTGATGGATACAATCAACCCTAAATTGGTCTATTGATGTTGAGAAACCTGTGGAAAGAATGTATGATTTCATTTAAATTGTATTCTTGACCACAGGCAAAGGAGTCAGAAGCATCACCTGCATCATCAGGCCGTGAGGGGTGATGTCTTATTTACTGCTTATTGGCTGGACGATGACTAGTTCCACCGGTGGCTCACCTGGTTCCACTAATAATACACTAACCCTCTTCAAAGCAGGGCCGCCTCCTGTGGCCAAGCTGATGGAAGAGGGCCAGCTCCTTCACTCTCTTCACTCTGTTCCCTGAAGAGCCTTCCATTGGGTATGTCCGTTAAATTAATCCAGAAAGAGCACATGTTTTGAAATCAGAGGAATCTGGATTTGGATAATTTACTTAACTTCTGTAGGCTTCAGTGTCTATGTCTATAAAATGAGAGGGGAAAAAATCTACATTACAGTTGACCCTTGATCAACGCAGGGGTTAGGGACACCAAACCCCAGCATAGTCAAAAATCCTCATATAACTTTTGATTCCTCAAAAACTGAACAACTGCCCTGGCTGGGTAGCTCAGTTGGTTAGAGTGCTGTCCTGGTAGACCAGTAGGCCAAGGCTGTGGGTTCCATTCCCAGTCAGGGCACACACAGGAAGCAACCAATGAATGCATAAATAAGTGGAACAAATAGATGCTTTTTTCTCTTTCCCTCCCTCTCTCTCTCTCTCTCTCTCTCTCTCTCTCTCTCTCTCTCTAAAATCAATAATAATAAAAAACTTAACTACTAATCCCCTATTGTTTACCAGAAGCCTTACCAATAACATAAACAGCCGATTAACACATATATTCTGCATGTTATATGAATTACATATAGTACTCTTACAATAAAATAAGCTAAAGAAAAGAAATGTTTTTAAGAAAATCATGAGGGCCCTGGCTAGTGTGGGCCAGTTGGCTGGGTGTTGTTCAGTTCACTGAAAGCTCGCTGAATTCAATTTCTCGTCAGGGCACATGCCCAGGTTTTGGGTTCAGTCCCCCATCAGGGTACATAAGAGAGGCAACCAATTGATGCTTTTCTCTCACATTGAAGTCTCTCTCTCTCTTTCCCTTTCTCTCTCTAAAATCAATTTTTAAAAAATTTAAAAAGGAAACAGGTGGATAGAGGGAAAGGATGAAACTATGGGAAAGAAAAAATAACTGAGGAAGTCAAGGCTCTGAGGAGGGAAGGCAATCTTACAGTTTGTTGGGATGATTTTCAAAGGGCCATGGGTGGCACTGGTCATTCATTATTTCTACCTTACCCGGGACATTGGCACATGCAGAATCTCAGAAAACCCCCGTACTGGTTCCCACTTCCTTGTTTTGTTGTCAATTCTTATCCAAGGATATTTTTTCCATTGATTTTTAGAGCAAGTGGGAGGGAAGAAGGAAGAGGAGGGGAGCAGAGAGAGAAACATCAATGTGAGAGAGACACATCCATTGGTTGCCTCCCGCACGTGCCCCAACTGGGGGCTGAGATTGAACCTGCAACCCAGGCATGTGCTCTTGACCGGGAATCAAACCCAAAATTTATGTTACCTAAGTTTTACCAAGATAAAAAAGATTTTCAAAAACAAGATATAAAATTAAGGAGAGTCATCCCTAAATCCATAACCCTGCATTTATCAGATTATCTTTGATGATGTAAGTGATGGAGTGAAACTCAAGGTTAAATGTTCAGAGAGAGGTGGAAGACCAATTTTATCTGCACATGCAACTGTGGAACTAGCTACTTGGTTGGAAAAAAGAACTCACTCCCTACATCTTGGGGGCAATTTTGTCTTCTCTGCAATTGAAGAGTTTTCTTCTGGAACTGTCACTCATCTTTTCTGGGGGGAGTTTCTTATCACAGTATGGTAGCCAAGGTAGGTATTTCCATTAAGTAGAATGGTCATTGCATATTTAATATATTAAAAACTTTTTTAAAACCCCATTTTACATTTTAAAAATTTGTTCTCAACTTCAGAAAGATTTTTAAAAGAACAAGTACTGCCAAAGACTACTCTTAATTATAGTAATAAGCAAGGAACTAATAGGGGGTATTCAGTCAAAAATGTAAAAAAATGCTTCCACTCGACCTTACTTCTATATTTCACTCCTCATTTAGCTCAAACCATATTCTAATACAATACCATCAAATTATTCGTGACAAGGTGATAATTAGTATGCAGTCCTAGCAAAGTGGGTCTGGTGATTTTTTTGATATGCATTTTCTCTGGTTGGGAATATTGCATTAAATAACAGTATGGCAAATAAAATGACTCGGCAGGCCCACACAGCGAGAGAAGTATTTTCAATAGCAAATTGACTTTATATGGGCATATATCTACATTCTAAAATAATGTCTCCATTATCTTGGCTAGAGTTCAACTCTTTTAAATCTGTAAGAAATATTCGATGCATGAGTGTGTGTGATGATTCACAAATTTGAAATAACACCTACTCTACTTCAGTTCTGGCACAAAATGTGTCAGTGAAGCCTGCAATTAAGAAAATTATCTTGGCTGGTCTTCCCATAGGATGCTGACATCAATATACACAGCCAGAGCAGAAATGTGTTAGCAAAAATGAGTTTAGAAAACAGTTCTACTCCAGCACTGATTATGCCTTGGTGCTTTTGCCATGTCATCTAGATCTTTGTCACTGATAATAACACTAGTAACATCTACTGAACGCTGCTCTGTTCTTTCAGTCTTCACAACAATCCTGTGAGACAGGTACTATTATAGTTCCTATTTTGCAGGTGAAGAGAGGTTAAAAAAGTTCCCAAGATCATATAGGTAGCCAGTGGTAGAGCTGGGATTTGAATCCAAGTCTCTCAGACTCAGATGTTTACTCTCCCCTGACCAGGACTGGCGACGTAATTTGAAGGGCCCATTGCAAATGAAAATGTGAGGGCCCTTGTTCAAAAATTAATAACTTCAAGATGGTGACAGCAGAGTATTAAAACCAAGCATGGGGCCCTTCTAAGCACAGGGCCCTGACTACATGAGTTGTACACCCATGAAGCTGACCTTGCTCGAAACTGTATTGCTTCCCTCCACCGTGTTTTTCACCTCATGCCTCAACCTAATTCAGCAAATACTTTGACTAAGCCACAGCTCCACTCTGAGAGGTCCCACGTGGACTCACGAGAGAGACTTCCATTCTGCCTGGACACAAACAACATGTATTACTCAGTCAATCCTTTCGCTTGCTGAGATTTCATGTAATGCCAACAGCAAAAAGTATCCTATAATTTTATGTCTTGAATATCAAGCTTTCTCTTTGGTTGATCCCTAAGACCTCCCTTTTAATTAGTCTGTTTTCCTCTTTAAAAAAAAAATAGTAACTGTAGCCATTTTCCACTGCAACTTTAAGCACAGAACATCATGGTGTCACCCATTGCTCCTTCCTTCTGTGACTATTGCAGATGCTTCATTCTAATAATAGGAAAAGGCCTCAGATCCTTGTAATTGTAGGGTCCTGATTAATGAACTCTGCCTCTCAGGATCTTCTTTTGAAGATCTTTCCAAACCTTTCATTTGGTACCTTCATTCAAGTGGAATGTCTGAAGCTGGGTGGATGGCTTGTTTTAGTGTAAACCTTTTACTGTCCAGCACATGCCCTGAGAACAAAGGGAGCCTGTTTGCAGTGGGTGCAGAGTAATTGGGACAGGCAGTTTACATTTTTTGGGACAGGGCTGGGCTGAGTGTGTATATTTGGAGGAAAGGAGGAGTTTGGAGGTGGAAAACAAAAGACAGAGAAAGCATAATCTCTGCCCCTGGAACAGGCTGCCAGGTAACATGATGCCTAGCTCCGGACTCTCCCATCCTCACACCCTTTTTATTTTGATCTCCTTTCCACAAGAAATTTTGGCTGTTCCTATCTTTAATTTCTTCCTAATATGGGGTAAGGAGGAAGGGATCACAGGCAACTGCCACCTGAGATTTCACACTTTTGGACTTAAATGTGGACTCCAGGGATTGCTGCCTCCCCGCCTTTTAAGGGTAAGGGTGGATGAGGTTAGAAATAATTTGTAAATTTACCATGAAAAGGGTAAGGCACAAGCAAGTATCTAGAATAGCAGTTCTCAATTGTATCAGACCCACTATCCCCTTTTTATAATGAAACATCCCCTTCACCGTCCTGAAATGAAATTCATATATGATAAAACCTAAAATTTTAATTAACATAAGGCTCTAAGTGCAATATAAAGGAGAAATAAAATTAGAGTTAAGCTTTATATTCAAATAATTATAAATAGGTTTTTCAC